TGAAAAGTCAGAAAGTCTTTATAGTATGTCATCACCACTTAATCTAAGTAGAGGAGGTGACCTCTCAACTCTATTTTTAACGAATGCTTTCTTATTCCTCCTAAACAAATCATTAGCATGTATGAATATATGATAAGAATCAAATTAATTATTTTTCCCTCCATATTTTAGTGTGAAAGTTTTAATATTCTCTATGTAGTAAGGATAATCTAATTTTTTTACTGTGCTCCAACTAGACAACATACAATAAGCTGAAAAATCGCCAATGATCTAAAGCAATACAACTAAAAGGAGAAAATTTTATTTGGTTGAGATGTCATATGTGAGGACACATTCTTCCTATAATAACTTGAGATCATTAATTAATTGTTACAAAAAATATCAATTTTTGCTTTTAGATTATATGGTATATATATTATAAGTATTAAGAACATCTGCGGGGTAGTTATACACATCTCTGGTGGAAGGTTATATGGTGTTAGTATAACTGGCTAACAAGATTACAGTGAAGTTACTTAACTATATGGAGTAAAACTATCAGCTCATAATCCAAATCTTATGTTACGTAGCTTAATGGTAAATGAAGTATGCACTTAATCAAAATATTTTCACACTTCAGTATCTGATGGATGAGAAAAAACATCACTATTTATTAATTTCTCCTTATTCCATCTCATATGACATGTTGAACTCATTGATGCATAGAGCCCCTAAAGTCTTGAAATGATCGGTAAATAAAATAAATGATAATATGGAGTATCTTTCTTTTGACGACGTTATTTTTTCGATTTTGGTTTAAATTGAGACACATTGCAAGTGCGATGATAAGCTTTGATTACATCATCCTTGTAGTATAATATACATCCATTGATACAACAATTAATTTTTATAGCAATGAGACCCAACTTGGATATTAATTTCTTCGTTCGGTATAAATTTGAGGGAATTAAATTATCCATTGGATTTGTTTCCTTAAGAAGACCAATAATGTTATTAAAATAATCATGATGAATATTATATTTAATTTTGATACTTAACATCCTCACTATAATTGATAATTTTGAATAAATTTTGTAACTATTCCAAATTAGTTTTTGAGCTACATGTAGTAACTTAAAGAATTTTTTAGTTTATACATTTGGTGGCTCTTTCATACTAGCCCATAAATTAGGATCTGCTACATCAAAAATAAGTTTTTTATACAATCTAGTCATTTGATCTTTATCAAATGTTTCAAAAGCTAATGAGTATCTTTGTGTGGCTTGTACTCGCAATATAAGGTCTAAATCCAATAGTCTGGAAAAAATCCCCTATTATATAAATCAACATTCACATCATCGAGCTTGAAAAATGCTTGATTTTTGTACTTTGAACATGGACATCTAAACATTCAATCAAACTTAAAAGAATGTACTTGAGATGCAACTTGAATAAAAGTCTCAACTCCATGTATAAATTCATCTATCAATCATCTTCGACCCTGTAATAATTTGTTATACGTCTAATATCTCTCTTTTTAGATAGTTATTTAGATGTTAAAGGAAACATTTCTTACATAGTTGTGAAATCAATTATTAGAAGATATGCATCCTAAATAAGTGTATGTGCTTTACTTTTGAACAAGTTTACTATACTTGAATTGAAATGTATTCCCCAACCATCTAACAATAGTTTAGGGTTTGATACCTACGTTTGAATAAGATATTTAAGCCTTGCAGGTCTAACCACCATCTTATAGAATTTTTCCTTAAGTTTGAGGGGGACTTTTCTATCACACAACAATTTTAAAACATTCCTCCACTTTAACCATCCAACTTGAATTCTACTAATAATAACCCTATCTATGTCAACATCACTCAAAATAATAGATCGAATATATTTAAAATATATACTCTTATTAACGACATGCAAAAAGCATACATCAAGGGGCAACCTATTACAAAATTGTAGTGAAAACATCCATGACTAAAGCAAAAAGATATATATGGACTAAAAGCTTATCCTTAATGTAATCCAACAAGTAATAACTCTTGCATTCATATCCTTAATGACATGAAAAAAGCATACACACCAAGGTACAACCTATTGCAATTTGTAGTGAGAACATCCATCACTAAAGCGAAAAGATATATATGGACTTAAAGCCGATCATTGAAGTAATTCAACAAGTAATAACTCTTGCATACATATCCTTAATGACATGAAAAAAGCATACACACCAAGGTAGAACCTATTGCAAATTTGTATTAAGAAAATCCATGACTAAAGAAAAAATGATATATATGAACTTAAAGCTGATCATTGACGTAATCTAACAAGTAATAACTCTTGCATACATAACCTTAATGACATGAAAAAAGTATACACCAAGGTACAACCTATTGCAAATTTGTAGTGAGAACATCCATGACTAAAGAAAAAAGATATGGATTTAAAGCCGATCCTTAACGTAATCCAACAAGTAATAACTCTTGCATACACAACCTTAATGACATGAAAAAACATATACCAACGTACACACTATTGCAAATTTCTAGTGAGAACATCCATGACTAAAGCAAAAAGTTATGGACTTAAAGCCGATCAACAAATATTAACTCTTGCATACATATCCTTGATGTAATCCAACAATCTATGCTTCATAACTCTCTCCAGAAGTTAGTAAAAGAAATAAAAAATGCAAACCTTGAATTCGGTTTGGGACGTTGCCGATCAACGAATTTCGCGGTAGAATGCAGGCGTGATCGGCTGTCGGAGTGGGGGCAAGATCGTCGGCTAGAGAGAGGGTGTCGACGAACGGATTCCTACGCAGGTAGTCGGAGGCGCGATCGCGAGCGAGCGTCTGCAGTGAAATAGATACGCGAAGAAAAGAATAGGAATGCTCGGTTTGGCCAATATTATGATCATTTTTAGCAATTTTCCTACAGTTTAGATAGTCGGAAAAAATTAATTAAAACCGGCGGCCTAGGACGTCGATAAAACATAAAATCGGTGCCCTTGCCGGGGGTTATTATACCGTCACTAATTCCAGCGGTGTATTATTAAAAATCACCGGATAAACTGCCGGTTAATATTGGCGGTTAGATCGCCGGTAATTCCGGCGGCTATTGGATCACCCGTAAAGGCCGCCGGTAATCCCTATTTTTCCTATAGTGGAGCTAATATAGCTCAGTAGTTCATACCTACCAATAAATTTTTTTAATAATTAATCTATTATCCATTTAATTGAAATATAAAAGTATTTAATAACAAGTAACTTTGTTGAGCGTAACAATGTTTGTAGGTATAAAAAATTTAATAAATAAGGAAGTGAAAGTAAAAAAAAAAAGTACTCTTACATTAGAATAAAAAATAATAAATTTTCCTGAGACCTTTATACCTCCCATCAGAAATAGATATCATAATTCAAACCCTTATAACTCATGAACTAGCATATTAGAAAAAAGGCCCTAATGACTTTTAATGCTTAGCACATATAAGGTATTGATAGGAGCGGTAGAGTAACCTAAACAATTATGAAAACAACTCTTCTCTTTTCTATGTGTGTTTTGGACCTCCTATAATGCTAAGATCTTCAACTCCCTAACTCTACTGCTTATATTCTAGCACACAACAGTCCCACAAATAAAATAATTTAAATTATAAATCATTTTTATTTTATTTTCATTCATTCTCATGTTCTTTTGTGAGTTTCTCCCCAAAGATAAAAAAACATTAGGCAATTAAATGTACAACAAAATATGAAGAAATCCAATTTAAGTAAAGGCAACTTGTTTCAAGCCAAGTTAAGTCATCCTACTCAATTTCAAATTCCCCTATCTACAAGAAAACTTACTTCAACTAAATGACCATGGTCCAATAACTTGTCTCAATTAGCAATTAATGTTTATCAATTTGCTCTAGCGACTACTATATCTGAAATCAACCTAGACGGCTTCTAAAAGAGGAATGATTTCTCAGAACAAACTATTGATTGAGAAAAATTACTCAACTCTCAAGAAGCACTAAGTCGTAGATTAAGGCTTCGTTTGGGACAGCTTTTTTATTGCTTTCTAAAACGGAGTTTTAGTACAAAAATAAATAAAAAAAATTTGTACTAAAACTTTGTTTTAAAAAACAATAAAAAAGCCGTCCCAAATGAAGCCTAAGAAACCAATGAAGCCACTCAACTATCATATTTTTATATATTCATGTATCCAGTTAGTTCGATAGCATTCAAAATTCTATAAATAAAATGTTAGAGGACTATTTGAGACTTGTTTTAGATGGGGAGTTTGTACAATAAAAGTTATCAATAAAATCCAGGCAAATTATTGCATCCGGTCACCGGACGCCCAGAATAGGTTCGGACATCCAATAAAAAACATGTCACGTCACATGCGCTTTTGACTGCGCTTTAGTTACGCTTTAGGTGTGTTTTAGTTGCGCTTTACCTGCGCTTTTGACTGCGTTTTACCTGCGCTTTTGACACGCTTAATTTAAAATAATATTTTATTAATATCCGGACCTATCTCCGCGTCCGGTGACCAGATGCAATAATTTGCCTAAAACTGAAGAATTTTTCTTTCTAGGCTTATCTTTCTTTAGCTTATTTCTCTATTTTTCTCTATTTATTTGTTCATTATATGTGAGAATATTATTATGATAACATCTACAGATAAATTTATATGGAACTATCTATTTTTTAAATTGATGGGCTCATCTCATTGAGACTTTTAATTTGATTATAAATTTATTTAAATTGAAGTTCAAATAAAATTAAATTTAAATATGAAATTTTATTTAATTTTAATATTACTTTTGATATTTTTATTTAATTAGATGAATTATTTTAATTATCATCCATTATAATTGACACATATTTATTATTAAATTTATATTGACGGACGGCCTAACTCAAATCTTCTCCAAAAATCTACTTTACCTTGGAACGGACGGACAGCCTCCCCGCAATGTGCTTACCTTAAATTCAGGACAGCCTGACCCAAAATTTCTCCCACAGAGTAATGGGAAAGCCCGTATTTTCCGACATCAATGGCGGCACACGTGTCGATCGAAAATGGTCTTGCTACAGATTAATGTAAGGCCTTTTATTCACGCGTGCGTCAATTTTCCCTCACTCCCTCCCTCGGAGCACTCTTCTTGACCAGATATCTTGCTTCTTACTCTTCCTCACATTCTTTGAGAGCCAAAGCCGGAACCTTTGGGTGCCTCCCATGTCCAAAGAGCCGCTGCTTCCAACCTCCGCTGTCGCCGGCGCCGGCGCCACCGTGCCACAGGCCTGGCGGCGAAGCCTTCCCTCTTCCAACTCCTGCCCGCCTCTCTGCCCTCTTCCTGAACACGACGAGGTTTCCATCCCCCTCTCCCCTTCCACCATCAAAGACCGCATCATCTTCGGCCCTTCCCCTTCCCCCACCGATCCACTCTACGGAAATCTAAACCTAATCCCCTCAGCTTCCCCTCCTTCTTCCCCTTCCCCCTCCCCCCCTTCCCTCACCATCTCTGATTCCACCGCCGTCGTTAACGGCGACGTCGACGGCGCCTCCGATGTGCGATGGCCAGGCGATCCCCTCTTCTGCAAAGAGGCTCGAAGTTACTTCCATCGCGCCCGTACGGCCCCTGCCATGTCCACCATCGACAACCTCGCGAACGACCACGACACCCACCGCCAATCTTCTGCTGACAGCCGTGAATCGCCTATTGTTCGAAACGCCTTCGTCCTCCTCACTGCATACCTTGTTTTCGGCGTTCTGGTATACTCCCTTAACCGTTCGGATTTCGAAGCATCAGAGACCCACCCGGTCGTTGACGCCCTCTATTTCTGCATCGTGACCATGTGCACAATTGGCTACGGTGACATCACACCGTCCTCAACAACCTCCAAAATATTCTCCATCGCATTCGTTCTCATTGGTTTCGGCTTCATCGACATCCTCCTCTCCGCGATGATATCTTATGTGCTTGACGTGCAGGAGCACCATCTTCTCGATGCTGCGAAGCATCGAGCTCATGGGAGTAAGTTAGACGCCCCATCCTACGTCGTCGATTTGAAGAAGGGGCGGATGCGAATCCGGCTCAAGGTTGGACTGGCGCTTGGAGTCGTCGTTCTCTGCATTTGCGTCGGTGTGGCGTTCCTACGATTGGTTGAGAAATTGAGCTGGCTTGATGCTTTTTACCTTTCAGTGATGTCGGTGACCACCGTGGGGTATGGAGATAGGGCTTTTAAGACCATGGGAGGGCGGATGTTTGCCTCCATATGGCTGCTGGTGTCTACACTCGCGGTGGCGCGGGCTTTTCTCTATCTGGTGGAGGCGAGGATGGATAAGCGGCACAGGGCGATGGCTAAGTGGGTACTTGCGAGGAACTTGACTGTTTCAGAGTTTCTTGAGGCTGATATTGATAACAATGGCTTTGTGAGGTCTGACCTTCCCATCCTCTGCTCTATTTTTTATACCTGCTTCGTTTTTTTTCCTGTTTCCATATCGTAATTTGGTATTGGCTTCAGGATAGCTTAATTCGAATTTATTGTTTGAGTATTGATCTTTTCGTACCAAATAGAGGTTTTGTAAGGTTTTCTTGAAGGTAGAAGAGCCAGAAAGAGTGTTCTATTATATTCGTGTAATGAATCCTATGTGATATGTTCAAAACCTTTTATTTCTAAATCAATGGTTATACATGTTATTGATGTAGCTAGGCGCACTCTTATTAGTTCTATGGAATGGCAGGCTGAGGTTTTGTTTGGGATGGCTTTCTTATTGCTTCTTAAAATAGCTTTTTAGTACAAAAATTAAAAAGTTGCTTTAAGAAACAGTAAAAAAAGTCGGCCCAGCCTAGTAGCAAAGTGTAAACGTTTGGAATTAGTTAAATTTGATTGTTATCGGTGGACTCATTTAGGATTCGTTTGGGACAACTTTCTTTTTGCTTCTTAAAACAGCTTTTTAGTATAAAAATTTTATTTTTTGTACTAAAAAGCTGCTTTATGAAGTTGTAAGAAAGTCATCCCAAACGAAACCTTAGTTGCTTGAAGATATAAAACAGATTTTTAGAAAGTTATATTTTTCTTTTCTGTGAAATTTGAATCATCACATTTGAGTGATTTTGGAATTGATTTTGAAGTTTACAATAAAAAATTATTGCGAACTGCAGCCAACCCAATGACAAAATCTAATAAATTTGTCACTTTTCAAAGCATAAATTCTAACTTACAGCAACCAAGTGAGAAATACCAGGTTTAATTTGCCTTCACCTTGTTGCCAGGGCATTTTGTATTTTTTGATAGGAATTTTACTTTTGTGCCAAGTCTTTGCTATGTTATATAGGGAATTGTCATATCAATAGGTTTTATGCTGGAGAGTCTTAAGTTCTGCTATATGCTGCAATGCTTTTTCAGTAAGATATGTGGCTTTAGGTGACGCAGTTTCCATCTGGACCTCATTCAATATTGATAAACCATGATCTATGGCTGTCGGAAGCTAAGGAGGGCTGCAATCTGAATGTTTGCTAGTGATTCTTTAGGACTGATTAGACTAGGAAGGTAAAGATGGATTTCCAACTTTCTTTGCTGGGGTAAACTGACAAGACTTGTTGAAATGGAGTTGATTGTGGTAATTCTATAGGAATAAATGTATAAATAATTCTGTATGACCTTTCACCTATTTGAAGGATGTTAGGCTGAAATATAGTTTAAGTTGTTATGCTTTGTCTTCTTTTACTTGTCGTTGAAAATGTTTATGAATTAATACAACAACAACAACAACATCATCAAGCCTTCATCCCATTATGACGGGTTGGGTACATGAATCTTTTTTCTCCATTGTGTCATGGTAAAAGTCAAATTCTTATTTAAATCTAATAAAGAAATGTCATTTCTAATATTTTCTAACCAAGTCTTTTTAGGTCTACCTCTATCTCTCTTAACATAAGTCAAATCTAACACATCTACTTTCTTAACCGGGTCATCAGAAGGCCGCCGTTTTATGTGACCAAATCATCTAAGGCGACTCTCTCTAATCTTATCTTCCATTGGAGCTATACCAAACTTTTTACGTATGTGCTCATTATGTATCCCGTCTCTAAGAATAAAACCACTCATCCACCTAAGCATCCTCATCTACTATATTTAGTTTTATATCTACTCAAACGAAAGCCTTTAGACTCTAAGGTTGACCTCCATAATTCAAGTTTTTTTTAAAAAAAGAAAAACTATTGACTTTATCACTAGTTGAAAGAACTCATTAAGACATGATGTCTTGATTCTCAAGAGTTTCTCACATAGAACATCAGTAGAATATCATATGCCTGAGCTTGTAAATTTACGATAAAATTGCATCATTTTTTAGAGAAGCATTCTGTCTTATAATTTTTGCCAATTTTTGGAAATCCTTCACTGGTTTCAGTTATAAATTGCTTTTGTTCATTTCAGTGAACTTGTTTTTCAAGATAAACGGGTTGTTCTATTTGATGTGAAGTTGACGCTTTTATTGTTTACTCCATAAATGAAAATGGGTTTTAGTTTTCAATCGTTGATTGATACTATGATTAACGTCATTATTGAACTAATTTATATCTTGTTGTCATATATAATCTTATCATTTATACACTGGCTATTTCTCTATTTCTTGCAATGGTAAAATTTTCTTGAAAGCTTCCAAAACAAAATCCTCAAGGCATGCTCAGTAAGGATCACTCTTTCCTTTTTCTCTAAAATGGAAAATGTCACCTGCATTTTTTCTTACGTTTTTATTGGAATATTGAGCCTTTTCCTCTTCTTGAACCATTATGACTTATCTGGCAGATTCAAAATTACTCTGCTGGTGCTACTGTCCATACCATTATCATACACGAATTTTACCCGAGACAAAGTATTGGAAGATAATCAAATTTACATAATATTTTGACGGGCAGTGTGATTAAATTAAGCCAAGAATAAGCCTTCAAATTACAAGTTTATTTTAATATAGATACCAATTAGGAGTGCAAACGAGTTGAGTCGAGCTCAAGTCAGAGTGTGTTCGAGCTGAGCTCGAGCTTAACTCGAGTATGGCTCAAAAGTCGAGCTCTAACTCGACTCGGCATGGGAAAATGAGCTCGTCAAGCCGCACTTTGAGGCTATTAATGAGCCCCGCGTCAACTCCTGTGTCATCCGCGTCTTCCCACTGGCACAAGCCTCGCGTCGTCCGCCTACATCGTCCGCACATTAACTAGCCCCGCGCCGTCCCTTGCATCGTCTACCCGCGACTTCCCGCCGGCACAAGCCCCATGTCCGCCGGCACAAGCCTCGTGTCCGAAGTCCAAACGAGCCGAGGTTTTCATTTTCCCGCGTTTTCATTTTCGTAGCGTCCGCGTCTTCCCGCTTGCATCGTTTTCATTTTCCTTCCGCTGTAATGCGAGCTCGATAAACTCGACTCATCGAAGTCAAGCTCATTATGCCGTCATGTTCGAGCTCGACTCGCGAGCTCGATAAGCTCGACTCATCGGGCCTAAGCCGGCTCGCGAACTGACTTGACTCGGTTGCAACCCTAATATCAATATCCGTTTGAATTGTGTTATGAGATTTGTGGGATGAAGTTTTGCTATAGATGTCGCCAATATTTGTGAGAATTACGTTGAGATTTGTTGAAGCGATAGCTTTCTTTTCTGTCTGTATATCGGTGACTCGTGATTGTCATGCTTTTATTTGGCATTCTTATTTCTATCTATTATCTTGAGGTGCAAGTTGGTCAAACAGACAGATTACAAAAATTTATATTTATAAATGCTGAAGATAAGTATTTATAACTATTATTCATCTCCAACGGAACTCTATTTTTCTTTTTTCGCACGCTTCTCTGTGAAGATAAAAATCTCTCTCCTATTTCGCGCCCTCCCTGAGAAGCTAAGTATAGTGCAAAGGTAATCACTTTTTTTGGCGTAGGTGAACAATCCGACGCCAATATGGCGTCGCACTGTTCACCTACCGATTTTTTGCGTGAGATTTGAAATTCGAATGCAGCGATTCGCAGATGACATACAATTATATACAGTTCGGTTGGAGATAATCTTAGTACTGTTTTAATTCCTACACTTCTATCTTTGCAATCCACTTGTTCAAATATTTATCAGAAAAACCGTAACTATTTGCAGTAAAATTTTCTATATTCTTAACAGCAAGTCTGAGTTCGTTGTGTACAAGCTCAAGGAGATGGGGAAGGTTGCAGAGAAGGATATCCTGCAGATCTGCGACCAATTTGACAAGCTAGACAATGGAAATTGTGGGAAGATTACACTTTTTGATCTCATCGAGAACAATAAAACGTGTAATTCCTTGAGCCAGGACATAAAGAGATAGCCAAATTCTTCACATCTTTTCAAAAATGTTGCAGAGAATATAGTCTGCACATTTTTGTCTTAGATTCTTTCAATTTCTGTACTTATTTTGTGAATAGTCTGGACGATAATCATTAAGGATGGATGGAAACAATATGGAAGGCCAAGGGCTTAATAGCATAAATTTTTTTTTTTCGTTATCTTTTATGTTTTTATTTTATCTCTTGCAAATTGATTGCAAAGTAAGGTCATGAAGGCTAAAGGCTCTATCAGAATATATTTTAGTTTACAAATGCGTGTAAATAAGTTGAGCCGAGTTCAAGTCACGTCTGACTTCAGCTTGATTAATTAATTCAGTTCGAGCTCGGGTATTATTCTATGAGTTAGAGCCTGGTCGTTTATTATAAAAGAGAGAATAATTATGATTTAAGTCATTATTATAATAAAATGATTTAAATAATGAGAAATTAGAAGAAACTAATAATTTAATATAAAAAATAAGATATAATTTTTAAATATTTTAAGTAATTATGTACTTAAAAATTCTGAATGTTAATATATTTAAACGAGCTGGCTCATGAGCTAATGAATCGATTCAAGGCTAATATATTCAAGCTTGACTCGTTAGTTCATCGAGTTTGGCTAACGAGTCATTTATCGAGTCAAACTCGAGCGGGCTCACGAGTTGGCTACACCCCAAACATGGAGAAATTATTTTATGCGGACGTCGGGCGCAATTCTACATCCGAATGCCGTTGTATTGAGCGGTACCGAGCAAAATCGAGTCGCGGTATAGTAAAAGGATGATGTGGTGCATTCTGATTGGTCTCCGAATGATTTTTTGACGTCCAAACAGAATAATTTTTCATGATAATAGAGAAGGATCATTTCCTACGTGGATTTCAGTAATTTTGTGAGGTTGAATGAATCATTATTCAAATCTCTTGTTCTTTACTTTTTCTGTAATTCTGATTTGTCATAAGCATTTTGAGACTTCCTATTAAGCTGTTTGATTAAATGAAATTTTATGATAATATAAAATTATACGGATTTAATGGAATTAATCATTAGCATATAAAGTCACATTTGGTAAATTTAAAGAATTAAAAGCCATATTTACGAGAAAATAAATTTTCTACCATAAATGAAATAGCATTGGAAAACATTTAATGATATATAGATCTAAATAAATTCCTTAATTAAGCAAATCTTAATAGAATTAATAAATTAAATAATTAATAATAGCTAGCACAAAACAATCATAATTAACAAATTTAATGAAATTATTAGAAAATTAAAGTTCAGTAAGAGCAAAAATAGTATTAATTTGCTTTTCTGACAACTCATTAAATTATATATATATATATATATATATATATATAGTTTTAATAACTACTAGAACATGGAGTAATTCTTATGGTTGAGAGATGATGGAATTCCTTCAATGTTTCTTGCAATGTTCAGAAACTGCGTTATCTCCATGTTAAACTCAAACGAAAGGTGAAATTAGTGAAGAGAAAAATCATATCTCCATCCCATATGAGAAGCACAACTTTAATCGATGAATTGGATTCCTTAGAATTCAAATCAGAATCAGTTATTCTTTCTCATTCTAATTTAAGCAAGTATTATATTCTAAAAAAGATTCATTATCTGCCTTACATGATGGGTCACAGTAGTTGGAGTCAAAGGTTTAAATATTTTAGCATTCAAAGGAGAGCTGTAATATTATATATATAATAGCCCACATTTGAAGTTGATAATTTCTTATCTAATAACGTTCATATCTCCTGAGTATTCAAAAATTACTCAAAAACTTTATTAATTTTGATACCTCTCGATCCTGTGTTGATTTTAATCTTCTCTACCATGAGATTGTTTCTTTCTATTATGTTGTGTTTGCTGCTACCTTTTTCCTTGGATGAGATAAAAAATATTATATTCAGTTTAAGGCCAACGAATCTGTTGAGTCGAGTTGATTTTTTGTGTTCTTTTTTCTGACCTTTTGGGACTCCAATAAATGAGACCATCTTGCTTACTTTCTTAACCTTTATAGAGCTTTGGACTTCATGAGAAGGATGACACATGCATTCGAAAAATTATTACATGCGGAGATCGAATATAAAACACCATTGTGTAAAGACAAATCAGACAATTCTTTATGTTCGATCTCCGCGCGTAATAATCTCTCTCATGCATTAACCTATCTCATCCCTAAAGACATTCCACGCTTTTTCAATGATTTTTTATTAACTGAACTGAGCAAGTGCATGTGATATTCTGCATCATCTCAACATGATTCCACAGCTAGTAAGTTTATCTGTGAATACTCTACAATATTTTCTAGAAAACTAATTTATCAAATGTTTTGTCTTTAATCAAATTCCTGAGTAAATTGAATTATTTGGTTCATCTTTAGAGACTATTTTGCTCTTTTTCTGGGGAGAACTGTTTGAGCCTCGAATCTCACACTATTGCTTTCCATATTCCTTTAAACTCGACCTTTCGCTACTTTGTCTTCTGTATGCCTGAGTTATTTGTAAAGTGAGAAGCTCTAAATTATTTACCCATGATTCCAAAGTTTCTGAATCCAGTTCTTTGGTTCCACATTTTTAATTTGGTTCCGTTTTGGTCAGATCAACCATATGGATCAAAGCCTAATATGATCAAATTTGCTTTGGGATCTCTCAAGCTTGCTCAATTACCAGGTTCTCAACATTCAATATTTCTTCATTATTTGACTGAAAGGTGAATAGCTGCATCTTCTTCTATAATAATATCACTGTAATAATGACCTGCATCTTGGATTTTGATATTAGAATAAGTATGTTGTAAATCTCTATACCCCGCAACTAAATATATAAAAGTGACTATCCTAATGATACACTGTCTTGTCTTGCCTCGTAAAATTAATCAGAAGTGGGAGATGCCACTTCTCACTCTAAGATTTCCAGGCCCTCATCTCTTCAGGCAATAAACTAATATCTGCAAACCTGTTTCCACACAATGCCTTCCATGTGCTATTCAACATGAACGACAGCAGCTAAGTACGGCTTATCACAGAGCGGACAGCAAAGCCCATGCCAATGTTTTTTTTGGGGAAAATGAGGGCAGATGCCAATATCATGAAAAAATTTTAACTTTTCCAGAGTACACAACTCTCCTTGGCCTATTGGTTGAGAGCTTAGGCTTCCAACTAAGAGGTCCAAGGTTCAAGTCCATGTGTATGCGTTGTGTGTGTGAGTTTGCCTTAAATGGCCTAAATGTCCCAAAAAAAAAAACTTTTCCAGAGTATTTTGTCTTAGAACTATTTTAGGAGAAGTACTTTTTAAGTTCAAATTGAAGAACACTAACATAACAAGTTCTAGCAACAAAAACTTGATCAGAATGGTCGTCTCAACATTCATAGGCACTCGCCAACCGAGAAACGTGACTTGCCATCAAAGTGCCCCTCGCAAGGGAGAGATTATTGGGTTCGGACGCCGGACACAGCTTACCGTTCAGTACTTCACAGTACCGAGTAATACTGAACTTGGTACTGTGAAGTACTGAGTTCGGTACTTCACAGTTTGGTATTGTGAAGTACCGAGCTCAATACCAAGTAGAGGGTGATGTGTCACATTTTTATTGGGCTCCAGACGTTGTCCGGTGTCCAAACCTAATAATTTCCCCTTGCAATGTGAAATTATTCTGTGCGGATACGGATGTCGTCGGAGGCGAATTTAGAACACATCACGTCACTTTTTTGTTGTGTATCGCGGATGTGTATCATTTTGTACCGGGTGACGTGCCGTGTTCTGATTGGCCTTCAGACGTTCCAGTATCCGCACAAAATAATTTCTTCGTGGCAAGATTTGCAAGTAACTCGTACAAATTCATTCAGGCTTTTAAGGACTTTTCCTTCAATAGGGGACAACTTTCCAAAGCTACTCACTTGCACTCACATCGTCAAGATGACACTAATATTCAAATGTAGCTATAGGGAAAGCGCATTTGAGGAGGTCAATGATTTGATGCTCTAGAGTCGACCAATTCTCAGTTCATAGTTATCATGATCTGATGGTATTAGTGACCTAAGAACTACACCTACAGTCTTCTCATATCGACTCAATTGGCAGACTTACCGCACTGACTCACTTACGAAGACTCGCCCAAGGGACTTGCCTTGAAATTGAGGACCATGTTGCAATCCGGGAGTTCGAGTTTGTATCTTGATTATAGTAAATATTATTGGATTATATTTAGTTTCTCTTATATCATATTATTACATATTTTTTGTACTAACATTTCAGGTTCAACATACACCAAGTATTATCAGAGAATCAAGGCTTAAGATTGGGTAGTTTAGGTTTGATCTATGTTATAGTCTGTAATTTTTATTTATTGAGTCGAATGTATTGTAAAGTTGTATGTTCGTTTAGCAACCGTGCACGCATACACGTGGGAGTGAAATTATATATTTTAATTTTTCTGAGGATCGTACTGGACTATCTGGATCATATTGTATGATATGTGTAATCAAATATTAATTAAAATATTTAAGTAAACGAGAAATAAATTGAAATGAAATAAAACTAAACGTACTATACGACCACATAATCGTACAAGATGATCAAATGCTTTAAGAACCCCCAATGTTCGTTAAATTAGGTAAAAATTTGAATTTAAATTTTATTCTATCTGTACTGTATGAAATTAATTGTATTGTACGATGTCTAAAATATTGTCTAATTTAATCAAATGATTAATCAATAAAATCTACTTAATTTTGATTGTATTGTAGATCGTACTGAACTATCGAAAAGGACAATTTTGGTTGTCCCGAGGTTCATTCTACATGAAAAATGATTTGATTGAACTAATCGTGATATACTACTATTCATTCATATAGTACAATCTAAACTGATCGTACTGTACTAACTGCTAATCTTACAGTACTAACAAGCAAAATTGAACTGCTCGCAGTGTATTAACTGCACATCGTATAGTACGAACAATGCAGATTTGAACTGATCGTATTGTACTAACCGGTGACATGTAGTACTAACAAGTCAAAGTCGAGGGATTATATTGTACGATCATGCAATCATCTTGCACGAATAGTGACGGTTGAATTAAATTTTTAGATTTTTTTAATCATTCTATTTAAGCTTTCTCATTAGACTTTGTAAGAGTCTTTTGGCAGTCATTTGGTT